ATTTTTTTAAACATTGTTTTATTTCTGTGTGGCCTCATTCCAAATGATCCATGGACAAAACATTACACAATCACTGCCTGACTGACTTCCTCTTTATGCCTCTGTTCTAATTTGTGCAACTTTCATTATTAGATTTTGTTATTATTTACCCAAACAAATTCCCTTTGTCTGTGATGTAAATTGTGCTCACTGTTACCAGTTTTTGTTTATTTCTTAAGGAAGCTGATTTGACATGAAAATTCTCAAAAAARGTACACTTGATTAGCTTAATAATGACTGCAAAGGAAAATCAGCTGAGCATWAATGTTGCATTTTCCTTTCAATAAACGATGATAAATTACATAATTTGTGTTGGGAATTTAATTCTTCCCAATTTATTTAATCTAAAGCACATTTAATTTTAATGATTATTATTCACAGTACCAGAACTAGAACTGTAAATCTTGATAGAAGATGAGGTTTGTGTCTCATTGTTCAGTGTTTGGAGTATATTTGATTAAATGTAATTTGCTTGGACCATAAAAGAAAGGGATAAAACTATATTTAATTACCTCTGCTTTTACACACAGTAGATTTACTTGGTACTATGTGTTTAGGAAGAGTACAGTTAAGCTGCGGGAGAGTGTTGTACCTTCCATCCTCCTGGTGTTTCACCTTGCTTATGCTGGGATAAAGCAGTGAGAATAGTTAGTTACCATCTGTCTGTTTTTTGCAGAACTGCAGAATACCTCAGCCAGCTGTGCTGACCAATCCTGAATGCAGACCAGTCAGCCTAGGTCAACGAGCCAGGCCTCTAGGACCTATTGGCTAGTGCTAAGCAACAGCCAGCCAGCCATCAGGGACAAACTGCATAGCCACTGTGGCTGAGATGAGTAATGCTGCTGCCACCCAGGGCTTAAAGCATTTAATGAGAGTAATAGCATCTACACGCAGAAAGACAGAGTGACAGCATAGATTACGTGGTAAATCTTTGGGATAATGAAGAATCCTGGGACTCTGACTGGGGAAGTAATAAATTTACTCCTGTAAGAACTGCAATTACCTCTGTCACTGGCTGCCTGTACCACTGTTGTGCAGGAGAAACGGAATGATGCATCCCTCTTTAACATCATTAATTATTAAAGAGAGGAAGGAGTGGATTATTAGACATGGGGAAATTCTAAGATTTGTTTGGGGAAAAAAATGTGGCTCATTTGTAGCAGGTGAGTAGAGCTTACCTCTGGAATTAGTTCTCGCCATGTTGAGCTACTTGTTTTCCTCGTTTTCTGTCCTGCAATTATCTTAAGACTATGGTAACAAATGACGTGGTTTTCAAGCTTTCGTTAAAGGCGGAGAGAATTACACATGTAGGCCAGTGAAAGTAGTGACAAAGTAGGACTGAGTGGTTACTGCAAAGAAATATATTTGAATTTGGAGTTTTTAAAATCTGCCGGTGTTCCGACGTTCTGTGCTACCTATCACTCCGTCCTACCTTCTGGCAATGCGCATTTGCAGATCGATGTTACGTCACAGGTTGCTTACTCAACAGATTACATGTCGGAATGCGCTACCTGTAGAAGTTTTTTTTTTTTTTCATTTCTTCAAAGGTTACGCTAAGTTTTATTTAATTGAGCAGCTATGTTTCTCAAACATATTAGCATAAATGGTTCTTATTTTGCTGTTTGCCATATTGTTAACTATAAACAAGAAATTAGTCGTTAGTCATTAGTTGTTTAGCATAGCATCACTGTCACTATAAATACTGTTAATAACAACAAATAAGCATGTTGCAAAAGAAGCACGTTGCAACGGCAGGATATTTTAATAAACGATTTAGGGCATCTGTTTGTGCTACCTAACAGGTAGGATATCCCGATAAGGGATGTTATGACACCAACTTCTGCTACTGTATTTTATAAAACATATGAAGATCAAATAAAAGCATTTGGTGCAACAAAATATGCTACCTAAGTATTTTGTTAAAGTTGAGTAATCCGATGAAAGGATTAAGTGCGTCAACAAATGCTACCGCAATATTTTATAACAGTAGCTAGAATATTTAATGGATTTAGTATTTATATATCCATTAAGGTCCTGATGCATCTCAGTAATCCAGGTAAAAAAATCAACAAGAATATAATTGTATAGGTCTTCTGGACCGGTTCTTCTCTAATGAAACGTTTCGTCTCTCCTCCAAGAGACTTCTTCAGTCTGAGAGTTTCAGGCAAAATTCAGGCTTTTAAGCCCTGCCTCCATGTGACTGATACTCACATCACATGGCTATCGTTGACACCTAATTAACACCTATTGTTAACAGGGGTGGAGTGATACTGGCAATAGCAGCGCTGTAGGAGGGGGACAACTGAAAACGGAGGCCTCCACCTCTGTTTAATGATGGACGGTCTTTCTTCACAAAAATGGCTTCTTTTACTCCTCTCTCAATCCAACGTTCCTRTCTATCAAGAACGAGAACATCCTCATCTCTGAAAGAGTGACTGCTGGCCTGTAAATGAGTGAAAACTGCAGAGTTCTGGCCATTAGAATTAGCTCGTCTGTGTTGGGACATTCTTTTGAACAGTGGTTGCTTTGTTTCCCTGATGTATATTCCCCGGGTGTTTCAGAGAAACTGAGACATTTATTTTCTAAACATGATGTCCCAGTGGCTTTCAAACCCCAAAACACATTACGGCAAAGGCTGGTTCACCCCAAAGATCTGGTGCCCCGGCACAAACAGAGCAAWGTTGTATATGCTGTTAAGTGCCAGGAGGACTGCGACCAGTTATACATCGGGGAAACAAAGCAGCCACTGTTCAAAAGAATGTCCCAACACAGACGAGCTACATCTAATGGCCAGAACTCTGCAGTTTTCACTCATTTACAGGCCAGCGGTCACACTTTCAGAGATGAGGATGTTCTCATTCTTGATAGAGAGGAACGTTGGTTTGAGAGAGGAGTAAAAGAAGCTATTTTTGTGAAGAAAGACCTTCCATCATTAAACAGAGGTGGAGGCCTCCGTTTTCAGTTGTCCCCCTCCTAGAGCGCGGCTATTGCCAGTATCACTCCACCCCCTGTTAACAATAGGTGTTAATTAGGTGTCAACAATAGCCATGTGATGTGAGTATCAGTCACATGGAGGCAGTGCTTAAAAGCCTGAATTTTGCCTGAAACTCTCAGACTGAAGAAGTCTCTTGGAGGAGAGACGAAACGTTTCATTAGAGAAGAACCCGTCCAGAAGACCTATACAATTTTTTCTTGTTATATCCATTAAATTAAATAAATTTAAATCCATTAAATTAATAAATTATATATATATATATAAATCTGGTGCGGTGTATGTATTTTTTTATTTTAAAAGGTTTGGAAGGCGATATTCTTGTGATTTATTATAGGGGTTTTCATTGTGTATAGTAATTTTTCCAGTGCTATGTCAAGCATAACTCCTAGTGGATAGCATCAACAGTTAGACTTAGCTATCAAGCCGCGCTGCGGTAGCAACATCTGACAAGGTAGCACAGTTCGTCAGAACACCGGATTGATACAGAAGTAGGTGACCTCTCAGCAAAGGCTTTGCTGTTACTATGGAAGGTGTTTATTTAAAGGTCAAAGCCATTAAAAATGGAGACACAATGGTAATTGTGCTTTATGCTCATAATCAGCACTTACCTTTGTAGAGATATAGGACCCACCAAGACATGAATTATTTTCATGATGCAAGTGGCTGCAACTGTCCTACTAATCTTCGTTCCAGTTGTAGATGGATTTTACTGCCTTTGCAGTCCCGGTTATGCCGGCCTGAGATGTGAAGAGGACATTGATGACTGCATCAACAGCTTATGCAGTTCCAGCTCAGTATGTAAGGACCTCCATCAGGTAAGTAGGCACATTTTATTTTCTTTGCCACTATAACATCATGATATTATGGCCTTTTAAAGGTTTTAAAATGACCTTCTGTCCTGTAAATCACTACAGTTTGTAGCTTTTCATAAAATATTAACAGCCCCTGCATATTTCCTTCGACGACTGCTGTGTAATGTTTGAACGCATTCCTATCGGAGTAAAATGGTGCAACTTTAAGAAAGAAACAGACTAAACTGGTAGCCCGGCTTTGATAATGAAGAGGGAAAAAAAGAGGATACCATTTGTAGMAAATCTTCAATATACATATATATTTTTTTCTTTTTTTTAGTGTGTTTATTTTTTTATGTCAGCAAGTATCTGCTGTGTTTATGCACAAGAGGCAGAAGCAGCTGATGATTCATCTGATCACTCATGTAGCATGTTTGCTACATAACAACTGATTCACAGTAGTTTTTTTCCCCATCTGCCCTTACGTGCATCAGATCTCTTCCACACAAAGAAACATAAAAACTAAGTCAAACTGAAGGCTTTGAAAGTTATTATTTTTTTAGTTTCATTAATATCCATACAGTGGTTTATGAAAAAATATTTTGGTAACAGACAAAGCATTATCGTCTGCCTTGGCCTTTTGACGCGGGTGATAACAATCACCAGTGGGGAGTTTTAAAAGGTCAGACTTCAAGTAAAAAAAATTAAATAAACAACTCTTCTAAACACATTTAGACTTTATTTTTGGTGGTCACAGTTTGTCCTCTGTAGTTTATGTGACTTCAGTACCAGCAGCATTGATTTGTTGCAGCTGCAAACATGCCTTGGGAGCAGCATGCTGTTCACCAGGGGTCTCCTTCCAACAGCTGCTTGTATGCTAACAGATTGCAGTCGTGACACAGATATGTCAGAAATAAAAATTTTGACATTGTTTTCTGTTTTCCTTTTTAACTCTGATAGCGTCTGGCGCATGTAGCATGCCCAAATTATAAATGAGTGTTTAATAATTGAGCAGACGGAATATATACGTATTTTTTTGTAAACAAAATTTTTTTTCGGAAAAATCAGATTAGTTGATAGAAATATACCAGCTGTTTTTAACATATGAGCCTAATTCTGATAATATGAAGAAGTAGTAGTAGCATACAAGAGGCCACAATTACTTAATTTTTGGCATTGACGTAAATCTTCGAAGACAAAAAATCCCCCACAAAAGAAGAGATGTGTGGAAGATGCGCGAATCTAATGCAATTTTACTCAATGTTTTCAAGTCTGTTTCTCAGGTATATGTTTTTCCTAAACTCATTATTCAAATAGGGCCACTTTTTGGAAACTCCTTCACATACTTGTTTACAGAGCAGCTATTTGTCTCTCTGAACACCGTGTCCCACAGAGCTTTAGCTTATTTTGGAGAATTGCCGTCCCTGAAGGTGACTTAGCAGCAAAAATGAGATTATGTTCTTTTGCCAGGGGGGGGAGGAATTGGAGTCTCCTGGAGGTATCTAATTTATCATGAGATGGTGGCATCCCCACCCCCACCCCATCGCTATCATATGAGCCTGTATTGTAAAAAAAAATCATATAAGACCAAATTTAACTGCTTCCCCTTCAGTGTATGAAATGAAGATTAGCATTCATCCAGCTAGAGTCGCTTAAGACCTTTAACAGGAGGTTAGCAAATGACAGTTCTGAAACAGCTTTTGACCATATGCCTCTCTTCATAACGTATGCAGAGAGGAATTTAAATTAAGCTCGCACGTTGGAAAGTATCAGACAACAAACCTGTTATCCCCCATGCTGTGATATATTATCATAATGRATAATGCAATGATGATTAAAGGACAAGTACACATAATGTTTTACACAGAAAACCAGCCAGATTAGCAATGTTAYCATGTCTTACTTTAGTGGTAAGTAGAATGAATATATGTTTGGGGGGAAAAAAAATCAAATAAAACCTCGTAAATCCTGTTCACACATGGTTTACATGTTTGCTTTTCATGAACATAAATTCACAAACAAAACAAAAAAAGACAAAACACAACCATCATGCTGCATGTTTGTGGGGAAAAAAAAAATCTCATATGATACATGTTGAATGAAGCTGAACAAACAGACTTGCATATTGTCCGTAGGGTGGAGAGTAGGAGGAATACATCTGCATACTGGTAATGTGAAAATGTTAGACAAGCACGACTCTTCCTCAGTTTAAGCAGATTTCCACAGCAAAGCTTTTGTTGTGAGTGGGAGGTTTCATTTTGCTTAGATATTTTTTTGACAAATTTAAATATTTAAAGAATTACATCATTTTTTATTTTAATTAAAACATGTATAGACAGCTGAACCTGTAGGGAAAATACCYTCTGACTACTATGGGACAATTTAATTGATTATTTCTGCAGACATGGAAAACAGTGTGACAAAACAACACCGTAAATTTTCAGTTTTTCCCAGTTTCCTCTCTTGTGATGTGCTATAATATGTCATTTAGTTGATCTAAATAGTGTTTCCATATTTTTATGTTGCAGAGTTATGAGTGTGTGTGTCATTCAGGCTGGGAGGGGCAGTACTGCCAACGAGAAACTGATGAATGTTTATCGCAGCCCTGCAAAAACAACGCCACCTGCACAGACCTTCTCGACGGCTACAAGTAGGTGTGGGATTTGGCCCGAGGGCAGCGTCCTCACGAGGTGCATCAGCCGTTTAATAAATTCAGGAAAAGAAGCTGTTTGGAGATAGCAATATGTCCTTCCTCTGACAGCAGAGATAATGAATTGCAGATGGCAGGTAAAACAAATGAGTCAATCAATGGCTCGCAGCGTGAAAAGGTTTCAGGGGATCTGTGACTCAGTGGAGAAGAAAGCTGGTGCGACTGCTTCGGCTCACGTCCCTCTCTCGCCGGGGAGGTGTAAAAAAGGGGACGGAGGAGAATGAAGGGTGAAGTGGTTGCCGGTGTTCTGGTACGCGGTGCCACTGAGTAAAATATCCACCTGCCACAGGAACGAGCACTGTAAACTCGCACGCTGTCTGCTTCTCGCTTTCTTCTGCTCTCTATCTGCGTCTGGCATGCGAGCAGTTCCATTTAATTCACACTTAGAGCTCTAACCTCCTGTGCCCTACGTTCAGTCATCCAGAATTAAAAGCCGCTCTGACGAGTTGTGCAATTAACCTGTAAATTTCCCCCCACACTGTCTTACACAAAGATACAGGACAGAAGTGCTGCGACATTATAGTTGTGTGCAGAAGAATGTGCCGTGTGGTCCTTCTCCTCAGCACACCGCTTTATTTTTTAGCACAGCAACATCTGGAGCCCTTAGAAGTGTGAATGCTGAGTCAGCATTAAGACTATTGTTTTTTTTTTATTTTTTGGTACTGTTTTGCAATCAAACTACTTCTACATACTTTGTGTTATTTTACCTATTAATAAGCCTATATCAAAACATAAGTACTATTCTGTTGGTATTAGTTTTTTAGCAGAGTTGTAAAGTAACAAAGTAAAAATACTTTACTATACCTACTGTAAGTAGAAATTTGGTTATCTATACTTAGGTAACTATTTTCCAGACTACTTTTTATTTCTCCTCATAAAGGCCCTGCTATGTTTTACACAGTTTATGCCAACTTGTGATTTTTTTATGTCTAAATTAAAGTTATGTATTTAACCATTTCGTTAGCATTACAGTATGAACAGGCCTAAAGCTAGCTTCTATTTGATTTTTTGGATTCAATCTACAACATCGATATCTTTAAAATGTTCATAATTTGGCATAAGTTGTCTGTGACAGGGCCTTTACATTTTTTTTAAAGATAAGAAGTACAAAGTCATTCCTTGTATTGTATTTTATTTAGGCTTGTTTTCATTGAAAAATGTATCCAGATGTATGGTGCCTCCTGGATAGAATGAATTTGATTCTTGAACACATTTATTCATTTCATTTCTTTAAAAAAACAACAAAATTTATGTACAAAAACACATCACAAATAAAATGAAAGGCGACAGAAAGAAGAAAAAAATCTTATATCTGCACCTTTTTTTCTCAAAAAATAAATTTAAACAATGATCTACAAAAGAAAAACAATCTCAAATCCTTATTAAATATCATTTCGTATGAATACACATTACATTGTTTCATATTTCTGTAACAAAGTGACTTTTATCATTCTCTTAAACATAAATATTGTTCTGGCCTTTTTGGCATCACTCTCCAGATTGGTCCATAGTCTTATTCCTTGTATGGAAGTACACCGCTCCCTCAAACTAGTTCAAAATCCAGGTTTCACAAACATCTCTACCCCTTTCAGATTATAACAAATTTCTCTCTTAACAAAATTCAGTTGTGTTAAAAGGCAATTAATAATAATTAATTAATAATTAATGAGCCTTATACATAACCTGTAAAATATTATCAACCAACTCATAGAACTTCAATAATTTCAACTAATAAAATAATAAATTTGATGGGTGACTGTAGTGTTTTCTAGCAATACTTCTTCCTAGTGTATCCCCAATTTTTCAGCATTAAAATTTTAATATAACATTATAATCATTATGGACTTTAGGAAAATGGTCATTTGGGGAGGTCACCTCTCACTTTTACTTAATACTTTTACCTTTAATACTTAAGTAGATTTTATAGTAAAAAAAATGCTTTTGATACTTATCAGATACTTTGAGTTTTACTCGAGTAGTATTTTTAACTTTCACCGAAGTAATTTTATGGTAAGATGCTTGTACTTTAACGTAAGTATCACTTTGTGGTATTTATACAACATTGTTTTTTAGCTTATGCCCTGCTCATTTTAGCCTCTTTTTGGCTTGTTTTAACTTTAGTGACTCAGCTTTATCGTCTTCACGTTGCACTTTCACTGAAAATGTTTATTTAGAAAGTGTTTAAACTTTCATATAAATGTTCCACTCTGTCCCTGTCTGGTGCATTAAAGGTGTTTATGCTCGCCGGGCTGGACAGGTGTGGACTGTGCAGAGGATGTGCACGAATGTGATTCTGGACCCTGTCTAAATGGAGCTGAGTGCAAAGAGTCTGACATACCTGGGGAGTTTTCCTGCACCTGTCCCCCGTTCTTCACTGGTTTTCTGTGCGAGCAGCCCTACGACCCTTGTGACCCTCTCCACAATCCATGCCTGCACAACTCCACCTGCCTGACACGCTCCGATGGAACAGCCTCTTGCAGATGCCCAGCTGGTGAGTGAGCACACCGCCACAGTCTCATGCTCACAGGCTTTTCATTTTCTACACGTTACTACATTTTCTAACATCGCTGAAAAGTTTAAAATACAAATAACTCTTTTTTTTTCCCAAAAGACGGGCTTGTTTTCACCTTCAGTCTGAAAAGCTGTTTTTAATAACTATAAACAGAGACATTAAGGTCTGATACACCAATCTGGACCTCCTGCCACAGTAATTGTGGACAAGACATGGCTGTCAATGAACCAATTTCTTTCCTATTTTCAATAATTCAGATGCTTGTTTTTCTTTCTTTATTCACCCATTAACTCATTTCCAGTCTTCAAACAAGTCAGTTCTGAGAAAACCCATTAAACCCTATCACCATAGTTTAAAAAAAATCCCTTTAATCATGTCTCTTTATTTTCCCTACGTTCTAGTCGCAGCAAACCCTGGCACAAAAACAGGCTGTCTTATTACTCACTTCCTTGTTATGAATGATCGAGAATAAAAGCAAAGTGATATTTTTAGATTTAATGGAATTCATCAAACACAAGTGGGCTTTGATTTGCTTTCTACTGTTTACAGCACTTCCCAATATATTTTACTTATTTTTTTTCTTGTATTATGCTTTTTATTGAATAGTTTTTTGTGGAAAAGATAAAAAGCAAAAATTAAGGAAGGCCACATTAGGGGCTTTCCAACTAGAAGCTGATGGACTTAGACTGATCCCTCACAGAAGAGTTCAACATTGGCCATCCATTCATCAGAACATGTCGTTTTTAAGTTACAMATTGTATTTGAGCTGAGAAATACATTTTTCACCAACGTCCATACTTATTGCCTAAGTTAAGATGTTATAAGGTTGGGCTGTAACTAATGGCTCTATCAGCACAGAGATGAAACGATGTTGCCAGATAAAAATAGAGCAGCTGGGTTAGTTTCAGAAAGCTTCCTTGGAGAGGAATAGGAAATTGGGAACTGGCTGCATACATTACAACAACAGCTTTGCGTGGGCTTGGTCGTTTTCACTTCACACAAGAAAACTGTGACTCACTACTTTTTTCTTATTATTTACCATAAATCCAACCTACACAGCTACAACTTTATCACAGAGTTGTTATACAATTCTTAGCTTGACTTGTTTACCATTCAATGTAGGTTATGTGTCAAGGTAATTATGCAGGCTTTGCATTATTCCCAGGCCTTCTTCTTTTTAATTTGTCTGTGTCTGTCTGCCGCATTTCATGCCAAACACAAACTGCATTACACACTTTGTAGATGAAAACTAAATGCTTAAATGTCATCAAGCTTAACTTGACATTCAAGTACATGGCTTTCAGTTTTGTTTATTTGCCATTCACAAAGCTTGCCATGGAAAAATTAGATGGGGTGAATCAATTAAAAGATACATGAAAAAGCCAGTTTAAGTAATTACATGAAAACAAAGTTTTTTATCAATAAGACAAATTTGCTGGAGAAGTTGGATACCACAGTAACTATCTAAGGATGGACATGGATGTTTTTTGTTGCTGAGGTTGGATATCAGTTGGATTCTTGTTGGTTGGATGCAGTTGATGTGCAGCTGTTCTACCCATTTGGCTGCATTCAACAGTTAATTACACACATACTTCAGTAAGTTTTAAAATAAGAAACTAAGCCTATAAAGAGATTCCTAAAGACATTTTTTACATAGTAGTTTAATTATTTTCAGTTGTACAAATTATGTGTATTACATTATCGTTTTTATTAGTTTAAAGGTTTTTATTAATTAGTTTTTATTAGTATCATGCAAAATTCATTTTTTAAGTCTCTTGGAGTGCAGAAAAGTTGAATTCAGTCTTTCCTGATGCTTTATATTTAGTTTGGTTCACATTTTTCAGTCCGTTCAGTTTTCTCTGTTTTCTGCGAAACTTTTGAACTATTGCATCAAATAATCTACAACAAAAGTACCATTAAATTCTCAACAATTCTCATAAATCCATTAATTCTTTTCTGGTTCTGGGTCAGACTCTGGCTCCAGCATGTAAGACTGGATGGACAAGTCTTCTGTTGTTGACATCTTACAATTTAATTGTAAATAAAACGTTTCTGCATCGCTAGAATACATAAACCCCTCTCTCAAACTGGAGTGGACCGGTCTGGAAGCAGGAGGTGGGGGCGAAACTTGATGCATCTTAAAAGTGCAGAATGTAACTTTTCTAAAAATATATTTTTAACGTATTTGTTCACTCTGTCACTATCTGCAGCTGAGCTCTGTGTGTTACGGTGTGGCTCACCTCCTGTTAACAAGCATGCGCGCTCCCGACTCTGGGCCCTGCTGTGGGGGAGGAGCTTAGGAAGGGGAGCTGAGAGCAGGGGGGAGGGACTACAAGGTTGTATCTGTTCAAAATTTTTCTAAGTTTTTGGGTTTTCAAGAAACTACATACAGCAGCTTTAAAGGAACAGTAACACATCCAGCTGCTTTGAAACACACCAGAAAAGTGGTGAAAGAGGGGCTGATAGTCAGAATAAGGAGGAATTTAAACCAAAGCTTTGTAGTTCCACTTTATAAAGACGCCAACTGAATGATTTAAATGTGAAAAGAAAGATTTAAAAGCATATGTGTACTTTAAATTATCCCATTCAGCTAGGTTTTGTTTTTGGTGGGGGGGTCACCCTTAGACTAAAATCATTATTAGGTTTTGGTGAATAAGGTGTTTGTGAAACAATTTATAACTAAGTATATATGAAAAATGTAAAAGATATTTTTACACAAATTAAGGCCAACCTGTGATGATTTTGTTTCTCAACAAGTAGGAAGACTAGTTGATCTAGTAATGAAACAAAACATTTACTGTTTTACTTAAATAGCAATAAGCATCTCATTATTAAGGGGTTTTGTTCTCATCAAGATTTGCATCTTTATTTTAGCCTGCTTTAAATACATAAGGTAGCTCCAGATGGGTTAATACAGAGAGTATTTCATTGTCAGTGATAACAGTATAGAAAAGGACATTTTCAGTAAAAATCTTGGCATGTAACTGGACGAACCATCTGTCTATGTCTATCATGAATTAGCCTCAACTGGTCAGATCCATGAAGCAGAGCCAGTTGGAGCCAAACTCTTGGAGAAACAAGTGAGGATAAAAGTAGAAACATCTTTTTTCCACTTCTAGTGGTTTTACTTTTTTATATCACTTTGGTGGAGAAAACCTATTTGGCTCTAAGATAACTGAAACATCAGTGCTGTTTTATGGAAATACTGGATTACATCCATGTAATCCACATGTCGCTGCCCATGGATGCTTTTTGAGTCTTATGTTTTTCCTTTAGAAGCCTGATCCTGGAGATGTTTTATCAACTGAGTCCAAATATTTGTAATAAGCTTAAAAGTAATGAAATTAAATTGAAAAAAAGGATATGAATGTGGATATGTGTGGATATGAATTAATAAAAATGTGAGCCTAAATCTGTCAACCTTTGTTTTTAATTTTGTGGTTGAGATGTGTTTTAAACAGTACGGTACAGTATCTCCTGCATGATCAAATCAACATGTCATCAAATAATATCCAGAATTGATGCAAATATGCTACAATATAAAACTATTTTACCTCAAAAATATGCAGTTGAAATATTCTGATACCTTTGACAACTTTACAAGAGTTACACAAACATAAAAGCACAAACGTTCGATAAGTTTTACTCATCATTTTACCAACATTGCATGATTTGTACCACAAAAAAGTCTGATTTTTAAATATAAGGCTGTTCATATGACAAAAGCAAAACTTTGATAGTGGATTCTTTTTGTTACACGTTTTTCTGTCGGTCTTCTCACCATGTAGATAAATGCTTAAATTGTGAGTTAATAGTTTTTTTCTTCCAACTTGCTGTGCTGAATGCATTATAAAGTTAAGCGTGTGGTCATAGTTTTCCCAAGACACTTGACTAAACTGTATCTGTCTCATAAAAAGGTTGATGTGGCAGTTTTAGTGTTCACAGTTCGACGGGATCTAAAAGGCAGCCATTAGGAGGTTTCTACTGGGACTAGCATGAAAGGGATTTATAAAACGCAGCCACAATAGAAATGAGTTTTGTCTACAAAGGTAGACTGTGTGAACCTGGAGGGCAGAATAAAACCAGAGCCAGCTAAAAGAATTGTCTTAAAAGAAAATACAAGTGAAGTGGTCTTTTTTCTTTTTTTTTCCTGATTGTAGAATGATCCCTGTGAAGATTTTGTTCTTGCTTACTGTGACTCTGTGCTGAAGCTCTGGCCAGGAGGCTTAAGTCATCTTTCCTGACCAGCACAGATGTTCTACTTTTCCCTTAATGAGGAGCCTCTTTAGGGAGTGTCTAATCTAATAGAGAAACAACCTGAAAAAAGGAGAGTTGAGGGTAGAGGTCTGGGGTGAGGGGCTCCGGTCGACAGCTACGACAAATGAAACATCTAGAATCATTCAGGCCAGGTTGCACTGCAAGGCAGACTTGTGTTCAGCTCTGAGTTGTGTACACGATCGATGAGCTTTGGTGGTGTTGCTCAGTTTGTGACTGCACATGCAGACAACAAGAAAACGATTTTCTGATGCTTTAAATATAAAAAAATACCCCTTAGTATGAGTTTTCTTTTACAAAAACATCTGGAAAAAAGTTAAAGAATTTTAAATAATAGTTAGCAAACTTATATTCAGCAACCAACTCTCTCATTGCAGTTGTCCAACATTTTCTCCACTGACCAAGTGGTCATGATTTGATGTGGTATCTCAGGTCCATTTGTTTAACAGACTGATGCTGACAGAACACATAAATGCAGACATTTGACTCAACCATTTATTTATTATTAATGCAGTTTTATGATATGTCCATAAGGGATGTCCCAATCTGATGTCATTATCAGATATCGGTCCAGTATTAGCCAAAAAATGAATATCGGATTATGTCGACCTGCATCTAAAATCACTGATATAAGCACACTGATACAAGCAGTCTATTCCAGTAGTCTGCTCAGGATTTCTATGACCTTGAATAGTTTACACTTT